AACAGCTACCCCATGCCTCATTCCGATGAGCTGTTCGACCGCCTAGCAGGCAACCGCTTCTTTACGAAGATTGATCTTCGTAGCGGTTACCATCAGATCCACGTCGCTGCAGCCGACCAGCCGAAGACAGCGTTCCGATCGCGCTTCGGCCACTACGAGTTTACGGTGATGCCATTCGGCCTCACCAATGCACCCGCTACCTTTCAGAGGGCGATGAACGACATCTTCCGGGACATCCTGGAACAGTACGTTCTCGTCTACCTCAACGATATCCTGGTCTATAGTCGTACCCTTGAGGAGCACCTCAGACACCTCCGCGACGTCCTTGACCGCTTGCGCAGACATGGCTTCTACGCCAAGCTGAGCAAGTGTCGCTTTGCCCAGCACAAAGTGGATTTCTTAGGACGTTACGTGTCTGACCAGGGTCTCCACATGGACGACGCGAAGATCACTGCTATTGCGGAGTGGCCCGCCCCCACATCTGCCAAGCAGCTTCGCAGCTTCCTAGGCCTGACCAGCTATTATAGTAACTTCATCCGGGGATACGCTAGGTATTCCTACGTCCTTACCTCCACCCTCCTCCGGAAGAACCCACTCTGGGCTTGGACACCCCTCCACGAGGACGCCTTCCGCGCCCTCAAGAAGGCGGTGACATGCGCACCGGTTCTTCACCTACCCGATTTTGATCGCCCTTTTATCCTTACCACCGATGCGTCAGACTTTGCTGTAGGAGCAGTGCTTTCTCACGTCTTCCCCTCCTCTCCTGATTCCTCTCATCGTCGTATCCCTCGCTTCCCACCACCTACCCCTACCACTGCTTCCCGACTGACGCCTACTTGTCCAGCTACTGACGAACCCTCTATTAACTATTCTCCTACCATCGCCGAGGACGGCACTGTCGAGTSTCGCTCAGGTGATTGTCCGATATCCTTCTACTCCCGTCAGCTCCTGCCCGCCAAGATAAACTACACTGCTTATGAACGTGAGGTTCTCGCAGTAGTTTATGTCGCTCGGCACTGGCGTCACTACCTGCACGGGGCACCATTCACGGTGCGCACGGACAACTCTGTTGTCCAGGCTTTTCTGACAAAGCCGAAGCTCACTCCTCGACAGGCTCGCTGGTGGCGCGACTTGTCCGAGTTTAGTTTCACCACTGAGCACATTAAGGGTGAGACTAATCGGGTCGCAGATGCCTTATCCCGGCGCCCTGACCACGACCAGGAGCACATCCAACTCTCTTCCATCTCGGTCACCACCATCCACCACTCGGTGATCGACGAGTTTTGCACTCAGTACCGCCACTGCCTCGACTATCGCGACATCCACGCGACCCTTCGGAGTGGCAAGACCGTCCTGAACTACTCTCTCGGGGACAACGGTGTTGTGTACTGGCACGGTTCACAGGGCACCAAAGAGCCCCGTATTTGCGTTCCCTCCACTTGACAGCTACGTGTCCGAGCAGTAGCAGAGTTCCATGACCAGGCAGCCGCCGGTCATATGGGCTTCCACAAGACGTTGGCTCGTGTGAGCCGCCTGTACGTCTGGCCGAAGCGCAAGGACTTTGTGAAGGACTACGTCGCCGAGTGTCCCATCTGTCAGGAGGTGAACAGTGCGAACCACCTTCCTTATGGTTTGCTCCAACCTCTTCCTATCCCTGAGGGTCGTTGGCAGTCCATCTCGATGGACTTTATCGGTTATCTTCGACCTCCGACCCCCCGCGATCATGATGTTATCCTGGTCGTCGTCGACCGCTTTACGAAGCGTGCACGCTTTGTTCCGTGCCGCTATGCCATCAGTGCATGTGAGGTCGCCGACATCGTATTTGACCGAGTTGTGCGTGACCACGACTTACCTCTGAGCATCATATCTGACCGTGACCTGCGCTTTACCAGCCGATTTTGGCGACGGCTCCACGAGGTGTACGGCACTCAGCTCCGCTTCTCCTCGTCTTACCATCCTCAGACTGATGGTCAGACCGAGATCACAAACAGGACTCTCGGGGATATTCTCCGAAAGATTGTTCGTGACGACCAGCAGTGGGATCTCCATCTTGCCCACGCGGAGATAGCCTACAAGCACGCCGTCTCGCCAGCCACGGGGATGTCACCTTCCTATTGCGACCTCGGCTACCACCCTCGTGTTCCCGCGGACTTCCTCCGACTGTCACAGCTGCACCCTGATACGAGTTGTCCCGCGCTGGATGATTGGGTTGCACACATGACGTCGATCATGAAGACCGCACATGAGCACATAGCCGCTTCCCAGACTTGCATGGCAGCACGTGCGAACCGATCGAGGATGGATCATCCATTCAAAGTCAGTGATGACGTGCTTATCGACGCCCGCCACTTACAGCTCGAAGCGGACACGCTTCGCAAGTTTCGGCGTCGCTTCTTTGGCCCATGCCGCATCCTCCAGGCCGTCGGTTCTGATACGGCTTCTAGCCTGGTCAACTTCCGTGTGAGGTTGCCCGACTACCTATGTCAGGCTCGTGTGCACGATGTCTACCACGTCTCGTTAGTGCGTCCTTACCGCAGACCGTCTGCGCGTTTCGCCGGACGACCATACGAGCGCCCTCCACCCATCATGGTGGACGGTCACGAGGAGTTCCTCGTTTCAGACATCATTGGTCGATGAGTCATCGACGACAACCCTCCCCACGTCGAGTATCTCGTACGTTGGAAGGGTTACCCTGATGAGGAGGCTACCTGGGAGCCCCTCGAGCACTTGCAGCACGCTCGCATGTTGGTGCGTGCTTATGACCGTGCTCGTCGTGCTGGGTTCACTGCTCCTCCTCAGCCCACTGACCCTCCTCTTTCCCCTCCGGCTGAGGAGACCGCTGAAGTCGAGCCTGCTCCATCTGAGGCAGACCTTCAGCAGCAGCCGGATGCTTCTGAGCGTCCACAGCGCACTCGTCGTCGTCCTGCTCGATACGACGATTGACTCTGACTTACCTTCCCACTCCATCCACTCCAGTTTTGCTACTTCGGCTCGTCGACGGTGCGGCTCTTCCTCGACGGCATTCCGGACTTCTCATCGTGGACGTCATCGGCAGCTCCATGGACTTCATCACGATCAGCTCTGCCTACTTCAGACGTCGCCACTCTCTTACCACTCTACCCTGTACAGTACCCTACTTGTGTGGCATGATGGTCTCCCTTTAGCCGGGTTCCTCTGAGTTGGGCTCTCCCTTGGTATACGCACAGGCATCGGGACCATAGCGTTGCCCTGGCTTCCCATCTTACGGATCTAGCTCCGACTTCCCTCACTTTAGGAGTCGTTTGCATGATTCCCTCACCCATCATCTTTCTACCCTTCGCCGGCCCTCACGCCCTAGTTAGGCAGCCCCGCATGCTTCATCTAGGTGCGCCCAGTATACCAGGTTCCCCTATTCCTTTGCATGGTCGACCCTCCATAGCGGTCACCCCTTAGTCGAGCATTACCCGCCCTGATGGTCTATCTGTTAGGGTCATTGGTTCTGTTCACTCTCAGTTCCCTACCCTCCTTGAGCCTGATGACATGTGTCTCCTTGTTATCTATGTGTGGATGCCCTTTGGATTTTTTGACCCCTAGGCTGCATTCGCCACCCTCAGAGACCATCCCACCCTTTGGTTTGCGACACACTTCTCATGTGACATATGATAGACTTGTTGTTGCTTTGTCGCTCGCAGACTGAGGCTACTGCCTCTGACATTTCTAGGATTTAGTTGTTTTGCTTTTGCTGTTCTTAGGACTTATACACTAGTCAGTTATTACCAGACTGAGGCTAATGCCTCCAACATTCTAGGATCTAGTTGTCACTACTTTCTGCTTTCCTAGGATATGTATGCTAGTTAGTTGTTTTTGCTTTCCTAGGACATGTATGTTAGTTAGTTGCTTCTGCTTTCACTTAGGCTGTTAGCTGTGACATTGTTGTTTTGTGACATTTTATATCGTAGGTTGCATCGCATGGACTTAGCATGGAGCTTGCTCCGCATCCTAGACTACTCAGGTTTTCTTTTCTTTGGTAGAGTTCCACTTCTTGGTGGAAGCATGTTTGTATCTAGGCGATCCATCACAGGCCGAGGATCGTGTAGCGGACCTCGGGTTGGCCTCTGAGACCAGTCCCTTGGCCTGTTCTCATAGGCCTGTGTTGTATTCGGGGTAGGCCAGTCCACGCCGGTACCTCTGTCGGTACCAGCCAGTCCAGTCCAGTCCCGTCAGTCCGTTGGGGTATACCCCAGTCATTGTCTGTTTTCACCCTCATTCTTCACAGGCACATTTTGGAGTACGTGCGTTGGAGTCTTGCGTGGGGAGCTGCGTTGTGCCATCTCGCTCCCCCCTTCTTCCTCCATCTCCATCTCTGTCACTAGCGGAGCACCACACCTGGTGGGTCCGCTACACCACGCCACAGGAAGGCGGCTATTTGGTGTTGCAGGGGGCGGAGGGCGTTTTTGTCTAATGCCCAGATTGTCGATTTGTACCACAGGGTGGCCAGCACAACATTATTAATTATGAGCGCACGGCCGAAAAGGGATGTGTGCTTTCCTTGCCATTGCGTCATCTTTTCCAATGGGGGCTTGGAGATCCATTCGTTGTTGGTGGCTGGTTTGCCTTCAGCAAACATTACTATCCCCAGCACCCTGAGGGGGGCCTCCTGAGGACGGGAGGGAACTAGTTCTTTCCCCATGGAAACTCCTGCGCCTATTCACGTCTCAGCTGGATGTAAAAAAGCTCACAAGAAACCGAGCGGCTTACTCCTCCCCCCCAAAAAAACAAGCTCCTGTCCTTTCGCTGCCTCCTCTGGAAGGCGTCCCCTCACCCAGCCCCAGTTCAAAACAGCCCCTTAATTCACTCCTGCTCCCTCAGCAGCATGCAATACCCCCTAGAGCATGCCCGGCAAAGTTGAAGATCCCCCTTCCCTCGTGTCGCACCCCCTCCAAGTGAAACACCTCTCGACCTCTCATCTTGCTGAAAACAGCACGGCCCCTTGTCCTCCCTCCCAACCGCCGTGGCTGATGCGACCCAGATCAGTCTGGCTCAAAGGAGAACAAAACCCACAATACCGCCCCTACCCTCTCAAGGATCACACCTCCCACCTTGTATAACCCTCGCAGGGAGGGGCTCCAACCCTTGGAGATACATCGAGATTAGATCGGTTGTGATGTTCTCTATTGCCACTAGGTCGAACGGGCGCAACGGGATATCATGCGCCGCGTTGGGTGCGTGCGCAAGGGTTTGCCGACCGAAAATGTCCTTTCTTATGGTAACATGCTGCTTGTGAAGGAAGCTACTTTGCAAAAAGTCGTAAAATATCCCCTAAAGAAACAAAACAAAAAACAACAAAAACAACAAAAGAAAGAGAGAACCGCCCTGCTTATTTGGTATCTGGCTTGTGCCTGTAGCATTGCTTAGTGTGGTGTACTCGAGCTCCACACTTTCCAAGTTCCATTGTTTTTATTGATGAGGCACACCGCAACCATAGCTGCAGCACAATCCTCGGATACAGGCTAATTATGCCAGGGTGCTTGCTACTCATTCACACAGAGCCAATCATCAGGGGGAACTTCTCTAGTAAAAAAGAAATAACCAAAAGAAAGTGGAGAGAAAAAAAGAAGAAAAAAATCAAATTAATCTCTTAGCTGGTGATGATCAATACTCTGTATGCGTCTGTACAATCCTGTTATTACCCCACCCGTTCTCTTTTTCTGGCAGAGTTTACCTTTTGCCGTTTCATTTTCTCCCTCTCTGTCCGCCTCCCCTCTGCCCTTTGTCCTCGCATCGATCCGCTGTATGCGTCTGTGTGTGTGTGTGTGTGTGTGTGTGTGTGTGTGTGTGTGTGTGTGTGTGTGTGTGTGTGTGTGTGTGTGTGTGTGTGCAGCAACAGCAGCTGCAAAACTGCAGTCTGTCGCTTTTAACCGCTCGGCCACTCTCCCGAAGAATTCAGCATCCTACAGGATTTGAACCTGCAGCAGCGGTGCTGCTGGCACCTGCAGTTGTTTCAACTGCAGCAGTCCGCTTCTGATAATAACTGATCAGCCTAGCTAACCTGGTGTACCATTCTTTCGCCTTGAAGCAGTCCGAGTCTGAGGAGAAAAAAAAGCAAAAAAGAAATTAAAAGAGTTTGAAATTTTCAAAGAGAAGTTGGATAACACATATGAATCCAGACACGGGTCCGGGCTTGGTGTCCGGTGTCTGGATGTCCGGGTCCGGGGCAACCATGGTTTAAATCATGGCTGTGATCTGGATGTTCGGACCGCCGTCCAGACGGTCTGGATTCAGTCCAGACTCCAGACGTCTGGTCCGGATCTGCCAAAAAAAAAAAAAAAAAAAAAAAAACGGTCCAGGACCCTTCCCCACTAAGGAGCAAAGCCCCCAAAATTGTTTTGGGGGGGTTTCAGGCCCGTTTTTGTTTTTTGGGGGAGTCCGGACACGGTCTATCTCTATAATAATTTATTACTAATACCCAAGTAATGAATTATTAATAATTCGTTACTTTTTAAGGTCTTTTTTAAAGTTTTTATAGTTTTGGACTTTTTACTCAAGTTTGGTTACAAATTCTGTCATGTGAGCCCCATGGCCGCCTGCAGCACACTTAGTGCCAACGGACTGTGATAGTCCTCTGGATACCCCTGATCGGTATTAGCGGGGTCTATGACCAACACGGGTGTGAGTGTGAGCGCAAGTGGGTCGTGTGTGGTGTGTGGGAGAGTGTTGGCCATAGCCTCTGCTGCTACTAGATGAAGGGTGGGGGACGATGAGAAAGGGAGGCACAGCTACTGGCAGGTCTCGGTCTTTGTGTTAGCCAGACCCCCACTGGCGGCCCCAACCCTCTACCCTAACCATTAGGGGCAAGGGGCAACATGAAATCTCCCCTTCACAGAGAGAGGAAACTATGCTTGCAGGGGTCCCCTCTAGATAGTCGTAGGAGTAGGTAGTGGAAGGCAAGAGAAAAACAGAAGTTGAGAGAAGAATATATAAAAAAAAAAAAAAAAAGTGGTCTGCATTGTTATTCTGCATAACTGTCATAACCTTTTTTTTTTTGAGATTTTTATATTTTTATATTTTCATATTTTTACTTTTTTTAATGGTCCGGACATTTCCGGACCTGCTTACCGGTCCGGACCATCTGGAACCATGCATGTCCGGAGGTCTGGATATGTCCGGAAGTCTGGACGTCCGGACCTAACTGGACATGCGTCCGGTCCCATAACATGAGCTGTCCGGGTCCGGCGTAGCCATGGTTTAAATCCCTTTCTTAACTGTGTTCACTTGCCTTTCTTTGGGGTGGCCCTTTCAAATGTTCTTGCACCTCCCCTTTTACTGTGCCTCTCATGTGCAAGGCTCGCCACATTGATTGCGGTGAGCGCGAGCTGCCCACATCCCCGTGTGCCATAACGGCCCACTTGCACACTATCCGATGTATTCATGGGGAGCAACACGTGCTGGGAACTGGGCCCAGCATCCCATTTGTGCTCATATGCGAAACAGATTGAGTTACCGGGGCCATTACCCAACTTCGGCTGAGACTAACCTATTCAACAACAGACTCTCAAGATAAGCTACAAATCAGAAGAGCTATGAGAAATCTCTTTTTCTGAACACTTATAGTAGCATCTGACAAGCACGTGCTGCTCCCCCCCCAAACAAAAAAAAAAAACACCTGACCACAATCCACGGAGGCTGCCTGAGGCTCTGAA